CACTGTATTCAGACTGCACAGTGCCTTCTCCTGGCAATCACTCACTAAGCATTAAGGTGGGCCCTCAGATACCACGATACCTTGCACAAACTCAGGCTGCTACTTCTGATGCTAAAATTGTCCTTACCTGGTAGCAGGTCTCCGTTTTGGTTTCAGAGTTGAACTACACCAAGCAGTTCTCCCTCTGGTCTCTCACGGTTTGACCACCATCTTCAAAGAAGTTAGCTTTTCTTTCCTTCAGCCAACAGTGTATGGACAGATGTGAAAAACAAGCATAATTTATTGCTCCATATTACCCTAATCAAGAATGAGAGCAAGTCATAAAGGCTTCCCAAAAAACCAGTAATGACAATGTTAATAATCTCAAGCACAAACATTTTTACACTTTTTAAATTTTTTTTTTTTTACAGAAATCACCTAAAGGCAATTTACCTGCTCTAAGTAAAAGTGTTAGGCACCAATCTTATCTAGAATACATGTCTTTTAGGAATATCTTCATTGAATCAGCAGCCTGCAGTATATAGTACATCTTTGGATTTCTGCCTACATAGTTAAGCTCTCTACTAAGACTAGGTAAATACTGAACCAGCAAGGATGCTTTTAATTTATCTTTAAAGTCCCTCTAAATAGAAAATATCTGTTTTATAATAAAGTGACTAGAAAATAAGGATGTAAAATGACAGTTTGTAGGGTGAAGCTAATATATGTGCTGCCTTACATCTTAACAACCATTATTTCTTTTATTAAAATTATGGAACTAGTAAGTAAGGTTCTGAACTTTAAGATAAAAGACTTGAAAACAAACAAAACAAAAAAGGAAAAGAAAAAGGAAAAAAAAAGGATCACACAAATCCCCTGGTTCTGTTAATTTTCCTAGATGCAAGCATTAAAAAGATTTTGCTTTTCCTTGCTTTAGTGCGGTTCTGGTATGAAGGAGACCAACGGAAGAAATGAAGTAATAATATTCAGAACACTTTTAACTTACAGTGACAGGCAAATGGAAACAATTTAAAGTAGGCCTGGAAACTCATTCACTAAAATATTCTAGTTCAGCAATTCTGTGTGGCAGTGAAATCATAAAACTGTAACAGAAATATCATATATTAGCTCAAAAAGTTTCAATTCTGTAGTAACACATACTGCAAATGGGAAGACCCAAGAAAAAAGAAAAATAGGAAATTGAGAGTGAGTCATGATAAGTAATCTTATTAATCAAGTGAATAATGGTGATGGAAGAAAATTTAAATTATTCTAAGAAATTAATGAATTTAAAATGGATTACACGTTACTTATAGATGTACAACAGATGATAACCTTTGGTGATACTCAGTTATTGTAAATAGTTAGACTTAGTGAAACGTCTCATTTTGCTGCATTTTAGAACCAAAACTATCACTGCTTCTTAACATCATGGCTAATTTCTGTGTGTATTCAACACTGCATTTTATTCTTCTCCTGATTCGATTATTTTTTAAAAATACAGCAGAAACATAAACCTTTCCCCAGTCAGTGACTCACCAATTTCTAATCCCTTTTTTTCCCATAAATTTTAACTGATTTCAAATTGCAAGAAAAAAAAATATACACTACACATGTGGGGTTTTTTGTGCCTTAAAGCTGGCTTCATTCTTTGGAGCAAAATGTCTGATGTAGCAAACTACATCTTAAATTATTGTAGAGAGACAATTGCAATTAAGAAATCAAAAGAAGTTTAAATTGTTTATTTCCCTTTGATTAAAAAAGTGGTTTTTAACTCGTGCTGCTTGCAACTCTCCAGTTACTGAGGATGTGCAGTACACTCCTAGGAGTCATTTTATCCACACTGTAATTTTTTAAAGAATCTTGAAGTATTATCAAGCACACAGTAGAGCAAAGGCTCCAGACGGCAGTTTTGTGCACAGCTGGCATTTGCTGAGTGCAGAAGGTGCCTCTCTCTGTACTGCTCATTGGGAAAACCACGTGGCACCTTTTCCTCCCACATGTCCCATGAGTCCCATGATACAGTAGGACCCAAGTACATGATGCAGGTCCATGAGCCCCATGAAGTTTTGCCCCTTCCTTCGAAGCCCTTGGAGTGCAAACAGAGGGAAGCCATGTGGGACCAGGGTCTTTTCCCCTGGGGACAGTGAGAAACATGATCTGCACAAGACATCCTGCCACCCCACTTAATGAATCCCCAGTTTGGGACCCTCCTTTAATCCCTCCCTGATTAAAAGGGCCCTTTTGCTTCTCAAGGGCAGCTGGTGGCAGCAAGTACAGCTTTTCTATGTTTGTCTGAGCTGCTCATAGGCAGCACAGGTGGCAGCACAGGGGTTACCTGGGCACAAGGTGCCAGCTCCTGCGGCTGAGCCTCACACCTCCCCCTGGCCTTCTGTCTTTCTTCAGCTTGTGAACCAGTACCCTGATGCAGAGTACACTCATCCAGTCTCAGAGAGCCCAACAGGATGCTTTTCCTTCATCCAGGAGATGCAAATACTCTGTTAAATTATGCACTGTGACTGGGAAAACATGCGTTGATGCAGTGGTTTGGGGGTTTCTGAGGTTTCTGAGTAGTGAATGCTGAGATTTTTTTTTAAGAATGGCTGTGTCTGAAAAGCCGAAGTGTGTGCTGTTTACAGCCCACTTCCCAGCGATGAAGCCAGGAAAACTGTTCTCAGGGAAAGGAGGTTTGGGGAAGAATTGATTATTATGTTCTATTGTGAATTCACTTGTCACGCATTTACAAAGGGACATTATACACATAGAAATGTCATTTTACAATCAAGATTATGATTTAGATTAAACAAAAGCAAACAGTTGAGTAACACAGATATTCCCATCTTAATCTACACATACATAACATTAACACTTTTGTGCTTTTCTTCTTTCTTTTAATATGATCTCCTTAGAAGGCATATTATTCCTCAGACAAACTAACACAAGTTCTCAAGTTATCTCAGGATAGTTATTTCAAAAGAAAATGCAATATTTCATAATAAACATTTATAATCAGGTTTTAACAAAGTAATTCATCATATAAACAAATGAATCAGTCAAGACACTAAATAAATATTTGTACTGGTAAATACTAGCATTTTGCTTATATCATATAGGACCTGATCCTGCAAGCCCTCTGTATACATCTTTATCCCCACTGAATGATTGGTTTCATTGCTTGTTCTAATCTACTATTTTACTTTGAGCTGAGCAAATACTTTCTGGCCACTAAGTTAAGTAATTGAAATAAACACTGGAATACATCCCAGCAGACAATGATTTCCTCAGATATCTTTCTAAGTCATTAGGTTTTTTCTTGTTTATGAAATCGTCACAAATATTTATCAACAGGAAATCAGTTTTTGATATTTACAATCTGAGTTTCATTGGTTAATTGAGATTTTTTCAGTATATCAAGTTCCTTGTTCTTGGCTTTTTTGAGGAAAAAAAGTGTGACTTTTGCACTCAGTTTGAAGAGCAATTTCCAAGAATTATATTACAATTGAAAGTGAATTTTTCTTGTGTCATACATTTGAGCTAACAATACTAGGCTGAGAAGGTAAGAGCCTCCAGGAAAATAACAAGCCAGGTGTTCTGCTTGAGGAGGGCTGGTGCAAACATGAATTACACTCTGTTCTCACCTACAACAATTGCTACCTTCTCCAGGGAAAGGGAATGGCCTTTTTTAGGGTACAAAATAAACTATGGCCAGTCTTTTAATTCTGAATTTACTCAATCCCTTGTCAGGGTTTCCTTTTTCTTTGCATGGTAAGTTCAGAACAGAGAATCACAGATAAAAGACATTAACTGACCTATATACCCTCTTCAAACATTAGGAAATTATCTGGATATCTTCCCACAAACAGATGTGCCAGTGAATTCCAATCACTTAGTTGTTTTGGGGGGTTTTGGGGGTTTTTTGGTTGGCTTTTTTTTTTTTAAGGAAACACAGAAGCAGTCAGTTACAGCTAAAAAACTTACCACTTTTTCTTGCCCAGCTCAATTTGAAATATAGTTTGAAATAAAGGGTACTGAGGTTATTAGATGTACCCATTGTAATAAGTTTAGCTGAATTCTGATGGTTTCCTGAATGTCTCTAAGCTCTTACCACAGTATAACGTGAAATGTTCCAAGTATCTGGCAAAAATAACAACAATTGCAACAAATCACTGCCTGAACTGAAAAGTGGAACATATTTTGAAATTACTCTCTCTATATATCTATATATAGGGATATACACACACGCACACACACACACATATATATCCCTATATAAACATTTCTTTAAAACACAGAAATTAATTTTATTATTTCTCCTGTTGGTATTAAATACTTTACTTCATGAATCCACAATATGGCAACTTCAGGCTGTTTGGAGAGATAATCTGAAAACAGTCTTATAACCTCCATTAATATAAATATATTGGCAAGGAACTTTGACCAGCAATAGTAAATTTTGAAACTTAAATTACTATTCTACAGTTACTTTAATTTTAACAACAAGTTACTACTGAGTACCAATATTCATGAAAAATGTAAAACAAAAAATAGAGCTTTAACTTTTAACACTGAAGTACAGCTTTATGAAAGGAATGTAAAAGAAAATGATGTATTAGAGACTCAAAATGAGAAAGAGAAGCTTATACTATGTGTTTCAAAGTAAGAACACTGTATGCTTGTACTTTATCATAAATTACCATGTTGAGTCATAGTTTCTTCTTGCCTGCAAATGAAGGATGTTGGCTCAAATAATCTTCAAAATGTACATGAGCATTTGACTAAATCCTGTTTGTTGTGAAAATAAAGTTCATTTACACTTTGACTGAATAACAATGAGGAGTTTGTTTTAATAATAAGACATTTAAGGACCTTGGTAGCCAGTACCAGCTGTATTTGCAAGTAGCTCCTCAGCTTTACTCTTTTTTTAAAAAATAAAGGTACAGTTATAGTTCTTCATTTACTTTAAAAATTCTAAAGATGAAGAAAAGTAGCGTTTATACATATAAGTTCTCATATAAATTATAAAACTCAAGTTTATCTTAGAGAGTTCCATCCCCAGAAGAAGCGTAAAGCACTTTTGTGGTACCTTCACCAGTAAATATTTGTATCACATCAAATCTGAGAAATGCAACAAAGATGATATTGAATCCAAAAGCTGAAAGACAACATTCTTCTAATACAGTCTCTTGTGATGAATATGCTCCATGTGCTTGTATGATTTCCATGACAAGATTGAATTTCAAATAAAGGAAATATGAAGGAATTCACCTCACCAGTTCAGTAGGCATAAGAAACATCAGTGAACAGCAGAGTCAGCCCGTTTGAGGTCAACAGTCTTTGGAAGACAACGAGGAGGGAGTTTAAAATACAACAGCAAAATCAAATAACAGCAATGAGGTAAACTCCCCTAAAAAGGCCAAATAGGCTGAGTGTCAGGAGAGAGTCCAATTGTACCTGACACCCAAATGTTTCTGTAGCCAGAGTCCAGCGAGCTGCATGGTAGAGGCAAATGTACTTGCTTTGGACCCTAAGCACATTTTATATTGTTTCGGATCTAAATTGGGGTCACACTGAACAGGATGAAAAATATGGACAACTCCTACTTCCTGACTTCTGAAAGCCTTCAAGCCAGATGTTATCACTTTAGTAAAGAGGTCTACATCCTCAAGTCCCCAGCCTTGAATTGAGGTATCAAATCCACCAGCAGTAAGTAAGTCACTTTTGTAAATACAGGTAATTCCAAATCCATACTCCCTCCAAAATCCAGTTCTTTTTGTAAAAACAAAACTACTGTCAGCTGGAGGGTTGCCTCCATATATTACTTTTGGATCGTACTGGCTGAAGATGATAGGGTAGTAAACCTGTTCTCCCTGAATAGTGTTATCTCTGCATCGCTGGAGGAAGTCTGATGTGAATACCAGATCAACATCACAGAACAGCAGCAAAGTGTCATTGTCAAAATGAGATGAGGCCATGTCAAGAGCTAGACCTCTAGAAAACTTTCCTGACATTGGAATCAGGGTCATATCTGCCTTGGGATACCTAACGCTGTATTCTTTCATTAGTTCTATGTGTTTGCTAGAGTCTGGGCCTGAATCAGAACTGAAGAGTATTATTGCCAACTTTACGTTCTGCTTGGGAATAAGACAAGTCTTCTCAAAATTAACCATAAATCTTGAGAAAGTGTCAAATCTCCCCGTGATAGGAACAAGAATATGTATTTTCTTGTCACTGTGTCTCCCGATGTCTTTGGTTCCTTGGAATGACGAGGAAAAAATCTTTAAAGAATTTGAAAGGAAAGAGAAAGATTGAGTGTCACTATTGGTGTCCTCCAGCAGGCTTTTTACATCCAGCTCCTCTGCTTCTTTGAAGAAAGGTTTGCTAAACAACTGCTGAAGGTAAGCATGGCGTCTCACTGGGACTGTAACTTTCCTTCCTTTGTGCCTTTTGTACAAAAGCAGTAAATCTAGGATGTACTCTACTCCATGCAGAGGGTCTACCCTGCGGTACCCATACTGTATTTCCTTGAAATCAATGAGTCTTCCTCTAGATCTGGAGTTCTCATTTATCATTTCCATGACCTGCATCACAGTATCATCCAGTGCAGCCCGCAGGACACTGCTCAGGCTCTGCCGGGGTGGCTGGTTCTCCACCATTGAGTAAAGAAACTTTCCTGTCAGGAACTCCCACTCGATGACTTCATCCCTTTCATGTGGCTGGAAATTATTGAAAGACGGCACCACTCCCAGTTGCTGATCTTCCTTATTTACTTCAGTGTTACTGAGCTTGCTCATCAGGACACTTTCTCGATGGAGCTGGATAGTCCGATGGCGCAGTTCGGAAATTTTGCGACTCAGTATGTAATTGTGCAGCCTATATTGGTAGGCAGGTCTTTTGTTTGGATGAAGCGTTATGGCTGTATGAATCTTGCTGTTGTGAAGATCTTGAATGTAACCCTTGCGGTTGTGTTCATAGTTTTCATGGAACAATTGCTGCATCTAGAAAGAGAGAGAGAGGGGTATAGGGGGAAAGAGACATTAGGTTGAAGTGCTTCTATCCAAAAAAAGAACTCACATTGGTACTGGTATCACTATCAATTCTTATAGATCATGTTTATTTTTAGGCACAGAATTTTAAAGTATTCAGTAGAAAATAGTTATTGTTTTGGTCTGAGTTTTAGTAGCGTCCACAGTAAGCAAAGAGAAGGTCAGTTATCTTGGGTTAATCTTCATTTCAATCAGCTGCAGAACTAAGGCAAATGCACAGGCATAGATCTGTGGGTAGTATTTCTGAGTTGATAGGTGCTATGCATGACACACTGACTATCACTTCTATCTAAACCCCAATTAGCACAGATCTTTAATGGAAGGTTAGCAACATTCACAATTTTTTAAAGAGCACCCTGTATTTGTGTCTATGGAGCAAAAAGCTGATTGTACTGATATATGCAAATAGTTAATGCTGCTTAACATTCAAAAACTGAATGGCCTTAACAAAACTTTTTTTTTTTCATGTTGACAGGGAATTCAATAATTGAAATAAAAACATCTGAATGTACATTTTGTAAGGTAAACATATAATAGAGTATGTCAATTAAGTAATTGTGATAGTGATTTCCAATTTATTTCTGTAGCAAGAAAAGACATTCTACTTCTGTCAAATTAGTAATTGTGATATAGTGAAGAGATACATTTGTGGCTGACAAGTCTAGGATCCAAAATATCTGGCCTTTATACTTTCTGTGCTGACAACTAAACCATAAGCGAACCACAAAACTATCTCTGATTCCATTTCCTCCCTAGAAGACAACTTAGCTCATAATTCGTGTGATGAGTATTTATTCTTAAATGGGAAATCATATGGACTAGTAAAATACTGGTATCATAAATATATTTAAAACCTGCTGCTCTTTGCTAACAGCTACTAACTCTGGAGAATTATTTCCCATGACTGGCAGATAAAGGAGAAAAGGCTGGGTTGTTTTTTTTAATCTGCAAACAGATTGGTCTGTAATTAATACATAAGGAAAATGTGCTAATTAGATAGAAAATGTTCAAGAATGTGTTTTAAACTTGGGCTGTAATCAGATTCTGAGATGTACTGAAGTTTGTCTTTTATATACTGAAGAAATCAGGAGAGGTAAATCCTGATTGCACAGTATATCAGACTCAAAACATTTAGCTCATTTTACTACAATTCTTTCAAGAACAGAAGTTTTGATACTGGAATATTAAGTAAAAGGCAATATTAAGAATAGGGCAATAAATGTAAAATAACTCATAACAAAGATAAGAACCACGAAAGCTATTTAAAATTCATTAGCATGTATAAGACATAAACTTTGTCACATTTACAAAAACAGAACTTTAATACAGAACTTCTGAACTACCCCTTCCATCTCATTCAGACCCCAAATTCTTCTGCTTGAGCAAACATGGCTGCTACTATTACTCAGATTAAAATTTTTGAGGTTAGTCATATTATATGTAGAAAAGCAACAGGCACACTCTGAAAAATACCTTAAGCTATGTTAAATTTGCCTCTAATAAAACAGGCATCTCTGTTATATTAAAGTGAAAATGAATGTGAAAAAACTATACAAAGTTACAACATGACTCATATACCCCTTATTCACAGAAGCTATCTAAAGCTCTCTGAGAACATTTGTTCTGTCTTGAAATGTGGGTGTTGTGACTTGTTACATGAGATGAGATGAGCCAGGGACATGAGGCTGATTTCCTTGTAATCACAGAGAACAGGAACCAACATCACTAGGCCTGTTAGTGTTTTAACTAGCAGTGCTGAAAAAACTGAAATATGGCTTTCTTTAGAGTTAGAGATGGTCACTGGCAGGACAGGTGGATTAGAGATTGAAAGGCAAAACAGTGTTTGGGAAAGAGCTGGGCAGTGACATTTGCTCTTTGGAAAAACAATTTTCTCTTCTCGCTCTACAATTTACATTTTGAATGATGAAAAAAGAACAGCTGATCTGGCTAGATTTCCAGCTCTCCAGTTATAAGTTGCACTTCCTTACTGGTCTGTTTTACTTAAAATTGTATGCTGTGAGCTCTGCAAGGTGCTGTGCTTTTGCATTGTCCACTTCTTCTGCAGAAAGCTGAAGGCATGATTTTTACATCTAGAATTTCATAGTAATGTCCCCTTAAAGAAAAATAAAGAAAATGTGTAATGCTGAAAACAAAAGAAAGAAGGGGAGGTGGTTTGCATGACTTTCTTTTCTAAGCTGTCTAATGAAGAATGCTATTTGAGTATAAATGAAGCAACTGTTAACTTTACCCATTTACAACCATTAACACCTTTACACATTACATTTAAAGTATATGATTTTTCATAGTTAAGTACATGAAAGTTTTATGTAAAGTAGTAAAAAGGATTTTATCCAAAAGATTTGCAACAGATGACATATTGCTGCAAAACTAAATGCTGTCCTCCAACTGTGCAAATTCTTCTGTAACCCTTGACTTATTACAAAATCAGCTTTACAGAAGATTCATTAGCCGCACTTATTTAACATAAATATTCTGTTGACATAAATACTGCATTTTTCGCACATTCCAATTTCAGATGCCTGGGTTTATTTGATATGCTCCACTGAAACCATGGAGAGAAGATATACTCCATTATAATAATGATTTCGCTTTTGATAATCAACAGATTAAAAGTAGCAACGAAGAAAAATTTGAATCAAATCAGTAATACAGTACTATCACACATATGCAAAACTGTACTAATCCATTTTCAGTTATGTTACTGAAAACTTTTAATAGATCCCGATTTGGAGAAAACAGAACAAACATGACACTGAAAGCATCAACACTTCCTGAAGATAGCCTGTTTTAATCTTGGTGCAGAAATTTGTTCTTAATGTTGCAAGAAAAAATGTCTTATTACAATTCAACTTATTAACATCTAAATGAAAGCAATTCAATTTGATCCTAACTTTGCTTTGAAATTTCTAAGCAACATGGTCAAGCCCAGTGGAAATCCATGGAAAATGGATTTGTGTGAGAGTCTGAATTGAAAAATGCAGTCATAAATTATCTGGCAAAGGAGGTGGGTTTAGGAAGTAGCAAGATTTATTGACTATAAATTGAAATCATTCAGCATGGTAAGAGTAAACCTTTCTGCAAAAGTTTTCATGATTTTGAATGACAAGGTAATAAAATGCCAGATTAAATTCTGTATAGATAAATGCAAAGTACATGTGACGAACACAATCCTAACTCTGCCTGAAGAATGTCAAACTGTGTAAGCTGTTAGGACTCTGTCCTAACAGTACCAGTCCACACAGTATGCAATTCTGTGTAGGTGTCACACAGAGGTCTGGCAGTGATGAAAGGAAAAGAAAATAGCATGAGGACAAGTCTAGAGTGAATCAGAAGCTTCATTACATGGTTGTGTCCATAGCACACCAACGTCTTGAAGACTATGGCCAGGCACCTTGTCATTATCGTCCCATCTGAAACTGATAACACAGAATTATAGAATGTTAAGAGTTGGTAGGCACTTTAAATATCATCTAGTTCCAACACCTCTGTCATGGGCAGAGATACCTTCCACTAAACCAGATTGCTCAAAGTATTGTCCAAACTGACCTTTAACAGTGTCAGGGTTGGGATATCCACAACCTCCCTTAGACAACCTGTTCATGTCTCACCACCCCCACAGGAAAGAATTTCTTCCTAACCTGTAGCCTAGGTTTTTCTTCTTTCTGTTTTTACCCATTACTGCTTGTTCCATCAATACAATCCCTGAAGAGTTGCTCTCTGGCTTCCCTGTAGGCCTCCAGATAGTGGAAGGCTGCTGTGAGGTCTCCATGCAACTTTCTTTTCTCTAGAGTGGGTGGCCCCAACTTTCTCAGCCTGTCTTTGTACCTCTTATCAACTTCATGTCCTCCTCTGCACTTGCTCCAACAGTCTGTGTCCTTCCTGTGCTGGGGGCACCAGAACTGCCACTCCAGGTGGGCTCTCACCAGAGCAGAGCAGAGGGGCAAAATCCCCTCCCATGCCCTGCTGCTTTGGATGCAGCCTAGGATCCCACTGGCTTTCTGGGCTGGGAGTGCCCATGGCTGGGTCATGTTGAGTTAGTCTTCAACAATCATGTGAGTTCAAAGGTACCAACCAAGACTACCCAATGATTACACATCTGGATCATTAAATAAACAGATAACTAGGGCAAAAGAGAGAAATCCAAAGAGGGCCAACCCTGAGATGAATGGAGTCAGAGTATGAGCACCATAAGAAAAATTGACTGGAATGGTACCACCTCTTCTCACATAACACTTACAAGGATGACACTTACAAGGATGCACTCAAGACTCAGAAACCAATCTTACTGGCACAGCAAGCTGCTGATGGTAGAATTTTTTATCACTTTAAAGACTGAAGCAACAGCTTAGTGGGAAACTCCGACCATTGCTGTCTAGAACACCTGGAACTCCAGCTGAAGATATATCACAGTATTTCCTTATTGTCCTGTACCCCTGTCTCAGTTTCTTCTACCAATTACCCCACAGAGACGATATTTTTCCAAATGAACATTTAGTTTGACATGATACAACCAATTTACATTCACTGAAAGCAGTGAATGGGAGAATTTGTCTTCAATTCAATATAATACCTGTAGGCACAACATTTTATCTTTTCACAGTGCATGATTTGTGACTTCTCTGAATAGCTTGCTGTCTTCTGAATGGTTCTTACAGCACAACTAATGCAAGAGTTGGCATGGACTTCTGCTTGCCTTTTTCCATGCCAGCTGAAACTAGAAGTTGGCAAGAAATACTAATGATCTAATCATGCTCTGAGGAACTCTGGACTGCAAGCAGGAATTAAAAAAATTATAAAAAAGAAATCAGAATAAAGACAATGTTTTATTATTGTGGTAGAAAAATACAATTGCTAATACACAAGCACAAAATAATTTGCATTGCAAGCTCTGAAATCATTGTAACCACTGTGATTTACTGATGTAATAAAAAAGG